CGTCCATGGCGATGCGCGGCGCAATGCGGTGGGAGGCCGACGAGGCTGAATCGCTTCTGCCGCAGTGCCACCGGATGGTCAGCGAAATGGAAGCACTGCGTGCGAGCGAGCAGCGCTACCGGGCGCTGGTGGGCGAGGAGGTCCCCGGCGCCCGCTCTGCAGATGGCGAGGACCCGTCAACGCGTGCGCAGTGCCTGCACGGCATCGAAGCTGCACTGGTGTCCCTCGGCGTGGAGGACGACGGCGAGCCCGCTGCGGCAGCCATTATGCGGGCCGCGGAGGACGCCAAGGCGCATGAGGTGGAGTTGCTCGACAGGTTGGACGAGGCTGCTGTGCGTGAGCACGCGCTGGTGTCGAAGCTGAGCGAGCTGGGCGAGGCTGCGGACGCCCTGCAGCGTGCGCTGGGCGGCAAGCACATTGCCTTGGAGAACGAGGAGGACGTGACGGTTGTCGGGGATCGCGTGGTGGAGGCGCTAGGGCGGCTGGGCGAGGAGTCTGCCGTGGCGTCCATGGCGATGCGCGGCGCAATGCGGTGGGAGGCCGACGAGGCTGAATCGCTTCTGCCGCAGTGCCACCGGATGGTCAGCGAAGTGGAAGCACTGCGTGCGAGCGAACAACGTTATCGTGAGAGGTCCAAGGAGATGTGTACATTGTATGTGAAGTTGAGGATGAATTTGGAAGAGATGGAGGAGCGTGTTGCTCTTTTGTTGGAGTTTTTTGTCTTGCCTAGGAGAGTCATAAGGCGTTTTGCATCCGCCGTGAGTGCAATTGTTGATGTTTGTGGGTTGTTAAATTGTGAAGAGGATAGTGTTCATCTTTACGTGGAAGAGGCGTTGGAGTCGCGAGATTATTATGCCAAGCTTTGTGGTGGTGATGGTTCTTTATCGGCCTCGAATGATGAGGGGGTGACTCGTGCTGAGTGTGTGCTTGTTATGAGGCGGGCAGTTTCACGGTTGGCGCCTGAGCTTTTGGATGAGCCGACACTTTCTCTTTCTGCGAAGCTGCAGCGAGCTGTGGAAAAAGCAGTGCGTCAGTTGGCGCACGTATTGGAATCCCTTGAAGAGTCGACTGATGCTGGAGCGCGAGTTGAAGGTGAGTTGGGTACTATTGTGGCGGCTAGTGAACAAGCATTGGTTGTTCTACGAGGTGGAGACTCTTCTGCGAACTCCGGCGAGGGGGTTGGGGTGTCGCGGTCGAATGTTCCGTATCTTGCGCGATCTCTTGTGTCTCATGCTGGAGACACTTCCAATAGGCTACGCGAACTGCGAGAAGTGATCGTGGAGTGCGAAGGCATTTTAGCGCATGCGCGCAGAGGCGAAGGTGAGAAGGGGACATTGGTGTCGGAGTCTTCATTGGCTTTTATGTCGGCTGGTGCGATGGACCTTCTGCTTCTCCCTGGACACTGCAGGGAGGTCGTGGCGGAGGTCTTCTCGCTGCGGGCGAAGCTTCGTTCGAGTATTGCCACAGTAACGAGGAGTGTTGGGAATCATAATTTATTGTTGGGCGCCGTGCACAGCTCTTTGAGGGTGTTGGCGTTTGCGCTTGATGGCGCCGTCTTGTCCGTGCTTCCGAGTGAGGAGGATGGCAGCGACACTGAACCTGTTGAGGGTATTTGTGATGGGTTGAGGTCATGCACCCAGGCGGCTGCACGGCGCCTACGCGAAGCGGAGCACATTGCCTCCGCATCGGCGCAAGTGCTACGGGAGGCGCTCTCAGATGAGGAGGATCAGCATTCTGGCGCTGGTGATGGGCTCTTATCTATTGCTAGCGACGCAGCCCGTGCGCTGGAGGCGCGTCGTGTGGAAGTGGAGAGTTTGCGCAACGCTCTCGATCAGGCGCGGCGGCTTGCCGAGGAGTATCGGCGTCGCATGCACGCCAAGGCGGCAGAGGATGATGCCGTGATAACTGCGCAGGTCGAGACGTACGCCGTGGTGGAATCTCAACTGAAGGAGGCGACGGAGCGGCAGGTGCAAGCCACTGCCAGAACGGCCAAGCTTCTTCGAGATCTGTCAGAGTTTGCCGGAAGTGTGGCGGCCATTACGTTGTACGACGGCACTGCCGCAGAGGAAGCGGTGGGGGAGGAGCGAGTAGGGCATGACAAAAAAAATGACGTCTTGCACGTGGTGAGTAGAGAGCGCCTTGAGAGTATCCTGGAGCACTGTTTCACTGTCATGCGATCGTTGGAGTCGGCGAAAGCAAAGGCGAAGTTGCTGTCATCGGAAGCAGATGAACTACGTGGAAAGTTGTGCGAAAGCGAAACCACGTCGCGTGAGCTTGAGTACCACTTACGCAACTCGGAAACAAAGGCGGCCGCGCAAGCTGTGGAGATGCGGGACGAGATGGAGTTTCTCCGTAACGCGCTTCAGGCAAGGGTGACGGAGTGTGAAGAGATGCAACAGCAAGTGCAGGACACAGAGAGGCGTATAAACACTCTACAAGCAGAGATGGCGGACACGAATAGGACGTACGGTAGTGAGCGTGATAGTTTATCAAAGGTGCAGTCCTCATTGCTCTCGGAGAACGAGGAGATGCGGAAGAAGCTGGAGACTATGCGAATGGAGCAAAAAGAAGTACAGACATTCTTGCGTGAGTGCCAAGTGACGTCACTTGATGAAGGGGTGGCGAAAATGTTGTCTCTTGTAGGCGATGTCGCGTTAAGCCATCTCGTCCTTGAGGAGGCCGAACATCGGGTGCAGTTGCTGCAGAACTGGGTGCTGAGCTACCCCATGTACACACATTCACTGTTGACCATTTGCACACGTGTGGCAAATGTGCTTTCTGCGACTGACTTTGAGGACATACCCATGTGTGTGGCGGAGATGATGGAGAGAGCGCAGGAGTTTAGCCGACTGCTTGGGGTTCCTGCTAAGACACCTGGACCAACGCGCGCCGCTGCCCTTAAAACACTTATGGAATGGGCGGAAAAGTTTGGTCTTGAGACGGAGCTGCATGCAGAGTCGTTTCTTACGGACTTGGGCTTTGCCTTATCTGAGTTGTATTTAGGCCATGCGTCGCTCAGGAAGAAAGCAATGGCGCTTCAGAGCGAGTTTGATCACGCACAGTCCACGTTGGAGACAAGCAGGAAACAAGTGGAGCAGATTGCCGCGCAGCTGCGGTGTGCGCATCAGACGGAAGGGCCGGCGGTAGCGGCGGCAGCTGCAGAGACAGCACAGTCGGCCACACTTCAAACTGGATTTGCAACGTTGCGTGCCGAAGCGGAGTGGGCTGTCGAACGGATCGCTAGCCACGCTGAGCAGACGCGAAAGATGCTGGAGGTGTTTGAGTCAGTGCACAGCGGCCGCAGTGTGTTGGAGGCATCCATGCACACGGTGGAAGAGCTCAAAGAGCGACGTGCTACGGAGGAGGTTCTTCGGGCGGAGTTAGCGACGGAGCGAGCGAAGGTGGAGTCACACCGTGGCTGCATTGAGACGAGTATGAGTTATCTGCCAGGCTCTCTGATTCCTGTCAGCGCAGGCGATGATCTGCCGCGACGATGCGCCGCCGCGGGTGCGGCGCTGCGCCGCCTGACCGGCATATTATCCAGTGCTCAGCAGCTTATTGCATCGGCAGGGCATGATGCTCACAGCGGCGATCTTTGCATGAACCTAGATGACTTGCTCCGGCAGCTGCGGCAGCTGGAGGGGGGGGCGAAGGTACTTGAGGCGAGTTCTGCGAGCCATCAGCAGAGGGTGCTGCAGCTTGAGCGAACGCTGCTCGAGACGGAGGAGCGGATGAAAGCGACCATGGCGGCTCAGGAGGATACCGCACGGAAGACAATGGCACAGGAAAAAGAGAAGCAGAATGCGCTACGGGCGAAACTCACTGAGTCCATGCACGAGTGTGACCAACTGCGTGCGGCGATCGCTGCGTGCAGCAGTGCCATTGGTTGCAGCCTCGAGGCTCAATCCGATGATAACACCACCACCGCAGGCAACAATGATGAGGATTGCGAGGGAAGGAGGTTGCTGCGGGCCGCAAAGACTCTTGCCTCCGCACACGACGCTTACGCGAGAGAGCTGGAAGAACTGAGGGAGCAACTTGCATCATCGCGGAAGGCACTCGCAGCTGGCAATGACCTCCGTGCACTCGCGCAGGAGGAGCAGTGCCGCCTCGTGGAAGAAGTGGAGCGGCTACGTGCTGAAGTACTGCGGGTCACTGCGTCCGACGAGGAACATCAAGCTGCGCTCTTGTGTCTCACAGAGAAAGCAGAAAGAGTTGTCTTGGGGTTGTCGTCTGAGTTTTCTTCATTTCCATTTTCAGTGACGTCACCACTTAGCATGCGAGCCTCCCTCGCAGCTCAGCATTTATCAGACGCCTTCAACATTTTTGGGGAACACCAGAGTGGGCTTGAAGGGAAGGTGGATGAGTTGAAGAGGCGTGGCGAGGAGCATCAACGCGAGATGGATGCAGTGATTTGCCTTCTTCATGAGGCTGTGGAGCTCACCGGGGAAACTGCCTCTGGCGATGCCGTGCAACTCGGTGCGGTCCTGCGGGAGAAGTTATCGGCAGCGCTGGAAGACAAGAAGAGCCTTACAGGTGCGACCGAGGCGCTACGAGCCGAAAACACCAAACTGAAAAGTGTCTGCGCGTCAACTGAAACACAACTGCAGGAGGCAAAGGTGTCATTGGTGCAGTTGGACTTGCAGGGGCGGGCATTAGAGGAGGAGTTGGGCGTTTTAACATCCTTTGTGGGGAGTATCGCGGAAGTGACGGGTGAACTGCTGCCAAGCTGTCCCGCCGACATGGAACGTATTAAGGCTGTCTGCGTTGCTAATCAGGCGACCCTGCAGCAACAGGCTGCAGAAATAATACGGGCGCGTGAGGAACTCACCGCGGCTAGCAGCGTCTCTGCCGAGTTGAAAGTGACAATCAAGGAGAATGCAGCAGACCGACAACAGTTAACGGAGCGTCTGCGTGGTGTGGAGCAGGAGCGCGATGATCTGTTGAAGGCCTCAGAGCAGCTTGTTGGACGTGTGCAGAGCATTTTGGACAATCACGTGGAGGTGCAGCGTGAGTTGGTGTTTCCTGAGGACAGTGACGATGTGACGATAGCGGACATTGTCCAACTGTGCGTAGAGCGGTTGGAGCAACATCGTATTGGGACGGCAACATTAAATGACAAACTCACAGCGCTTCAGCGCGAAAACGCCGAGCTGAAGAAGGAACTTCGAAGTCTCGAAGGCAATGCTGCAGTCAACGCAGGAGAGATTGCGGAGCTTCACGAACAACTGCGTGTGTTGCTCGATAGCAAACAGCTGGCGCATGTCAATCAGTCCAAGTTGACGGCGGAGTATGACAGCCTTTCTCGTCAACTGCATTCCCTTTTCACGGACGCGCTACGCATGGCGGCTGATGACATGAAGCTGCAGGTACCCCTATTCTCCGACACGAGTGTATCTGGTGCTTTGCAAGGGCTTCGCTCGCTTCTTGATTACATCACAGAGAGGTTCCGCTCTGGTGCCATCCGCAGTGCGGATATCGAGGACAAGGTGGAATCGCTACAACAGCTGCTACAGGTGCGGGAACGGCAACAGGCCCAGGACGCCAGAAGCCTGTATCGAACCTTTTGTGACCACATTGCGGTTTACATCGGCACTCACGATTCACGAGGAGAGAATGATGGTGGCGATGATAGAAGCAGCAAGCCACTCCAACTTCTGCCAGAGTCTCTCGTTTCAGCTGGAACCTCTCTTCATCACGTTCACACCGAGGTACAGCATGTGGGAATGCTCTGTCGTCGCCTGCTGGGAATCCCGGTAGAGCCGTCGGGGAAGTTGCGTGGGATGACGTTGCCAGAGTCGGCCACATGGCTTGAAGAGACCGCTAGTGGTGTAGCGGGGCGAGCGGAGTTACTGCATAACGCTATTCAAGCCGTTTCTCATGTGGCGGAAATACCTCCCATCGACCTTGCATCCTCGGAGCAGCGGGTGACAGAGTGGGTGGAAAGTTTTGGCCTCTGGCTGGAACGTGCGCAGCGTGGACTTGACGCAACCGATCATTTACTGGAGGCACTCACACGTGTTGTCCATAGCCATGGCGGTCTTGTAGAGGAGGTGTTGAGCGCGAATACCACGATGATTAGTTTCAATAATAATGCCAGCAACAACCTTCATTTGCAGCAGCCTATCGTGGATGCGTCGCTGCAAGACTTGAACAACAGCCGCACTGATGTGTCGCTCTCCCGGTGCATTACTCATCCACATCACCGTGCGGTGTTCAATGCGGTGCAGGAGCTTGTCTCACAGCTGGAGAGTCGTGGACGTGTCTTGACATCCGAGTGGCAGGCGCTCATGGATCAAAACAACCGCCTTATTCATGAACGCCGCCAGACGGAGGAAGACCAGGCGAGGGTGCAAGACCACGTTCAAGAGCTCCGCCGTGTCGTGCAGCGCAAGATTGAAGAGGACCGTAGAGTAGAGAAGAGTCTGCAGGAGTTAGACAAGCATCTTGACATGCAGGCAAGGGAGCTAGCAATGAAGTATCGGTCCGACCATGATATTATTGTGCGACAATTTACCGAGCTCCGTGGAGCGATACGACGAACGATACGGCCGCAGCGATCCTACTCAACAGCATCGACGACGCTTGGCTCAGTAAACCAACGAACTCTTTGAGGGTAAGGGAAAGATGGGGGATAATGTGCTTTTACGATAAGTGTACTTTACGTCCTTGACACTATCCGCCACTGCTGATAGTTGCGCAGTACACTTTTGTTTCTGCCCGGTGATTTATTGTTGCAACTTACTCCCCACCTCTGCAAAGAAAAGAAACACGAATTGTCATGGGAGTAGTGTGGCCCTGAGCGGGATGTGGTTTATGCACGCTCTTTTATGTGGACGTGCCACCCCACTCCCTGCTCCTGCCACCACACCGCGCGGTCTAGCGCTTCATGCGGCTTTGCACCCCCTGCCCTTTTGCAACTGCGTGCCGTATGTGATCTGCTTCCTTTCCACCATCTTATGTTTTTGTTTTGAGTTTTGGGTGCGCTCTACCATTGGGACTGCGGGTGCATTCAATGAGCAGCATTTTTGAGGAGCTTTGCGCTGCGTTTTTGTTTTTCTGTGCTGTTGTGTTGTACTGTGGCGTTCTTTGCACTGCCCTTCGCTGCTGGGATTGAGCTCTGTGAGAACATGGGGGTGTACAGTGAACGAATGCTGTGGTCGCGTGTTGGTGTTATTTTTTGTTTAGTTATTACTATTATTGTTGTCTCCGAGAATTTATGTGGGACATGTGGTTTTTCTCAGTGGCTCCTTTTGTTGAGTTTCTGCGTCTCTCTACTTTTTTTTATGCCTTCGGAGGGGTGCAGGGAACGTGGCACGGAGTAAAAGGCAGTGAGGGAGAGAGAGTAAGGGTGGGAACGTGGGGACGAAAGGATTCTGCTCCAGGGCGGTCACACTAGCGGCGCACACTTGAAAAGTTAAAAACAGAAGGAAAGGAAAAAAAGTGACTCGGTTGCGTAGGCATAGAAGCAGCGGATGCACTCACCACGGATACACACAGATTTAGCGCAGCATCTGGTAGGCGAGTCATGGGAACTCATTGAGACGGTGCTCCCGCAGGGGGAAAATGCTTTCATCAGTGAGTCCCTGTTCTCTGTGGGCAACGGACACGTGAGTGTGCGCGGGTACGCGGAAGAGGCGGAAATGGCGGCGCCTTACGGCCGTAACGCAAATCATGGCCACAAGTATAGGAAACGGTTGGCGGAGAAAGGGGGGCATGCAAAATCCGCGGCGGGTGCACATTCGCCGGAGCACGCATTTCGAGGGACATACATCAATGGAATATATGAGGAGCGACTGTTAGCGCAAAATCACAGACGCTTTATGGTGGGCACCTGTGCGCGTGAGTGTTTTCTTATTTGTGTACCCGATGCCTTTTGTGTTGACGTTTTTGTTGGTAGTGAACACGTTAGTGTGGCGACTGGTACCATCCTCTCGCACAGGCGTGTGTTGGACCTTCGCACAGGCGAACTTCGTCGTCGACTGGTGTGGCAGTCGACGAATCATGGGCGTGAGGTGACGATTGAGTCGTCCCGCTTTGTTTCTCTCTCGCGTAAAAACATTGCCGCCTTGAGGCTATCCGTGACTGCCAAGAATGTTTCGAACACTGACATTCGCATTGTTTCCCGCACGGTGGTGACGGCGGATGCACAAAGGCACCTGAAGGTGGAGAACATTGTCGCCCGGCACACCTTGGTTGATGCCTCGACGGCAGTGTCCGCGCGGACACGCAACAGCTGCAAGCGACTCGTGGTGGCGGTGACAGAGACGTGCTACAGCACATCCACCGACCCCAGTTCCTTGCAACTGGCAAATTTTTGCAGCATCAATGCCTCCACACCGCCTGCCTCCACAAAGGCGGAAAATCCACTGGCGAGCACCGGTCGCTACGAAGTCACTCTTGCAAGTACGCCACAGCTGCAGCAACAACAATCTTTTGTAAGTCTCGCCCCTAAATGTGCGGAGACAATTGATAGCACTGAGACGATTTATACCAGCGTCATCAACGAGTCGACGACGCTGGAGCTCACTAAATATATTGCCTTCTTCAGCGACGAGGAGGCGGCTCCGGAGGATATGTGTGATTTGGCCGTTCACCATTCACGGGAGGCGGCGGGGGTAACGTATGATACCATGCTGAATGAAAATCGAAATATCGTGGAAAAGTTTTGGGAAACGGCAGACGTTGGTGTAAAGACGAATCAACCTTCGGTGCAGGGGGCTATTCGTTTCAATCTTTTGCATCTGTGCATGTCATTTTGCCGGGCGTATGCTACGGAATCTCCGCCACGTGGACTGATGAATGAGCTTGATAATGGTTTGCACCATTGGGAGGTGGATGCCATCGTCATTCCTTTTTTTGCGCATATACATCCAAAAACTGCCCGGGCCCTTTTGCAGTTTCGTATTGATACGCTACCACAAGCAAGAAACATTGCAGCAGATATGTACCTTCCACGAGGCGCGCTTTACCCATTGCGTACAGTAAGCGGAGGGGAAAATTATCCATTGCCGTTTTGTGCAGCATTTTTATACAGCAATGCTGTCATTGCCTACGCCATGCAGCGGTACGTTATGGCCACCAATGACACTGCGTTGCTGCTTCAAGGTGGTGCGGATGTCGTCTTTTCCACGGTACTTATCTGGATTATATGGGGAACCTGGGACAAGGGGGAATTTCACATTCGGTATGTGGGAGGACCAGACGAATACAGCGGTTTAAGTGACAACAATCTCTTCACCAATCTTATGGCCCAAAATCACATGCAGTGGGCAGTGCAGCTTGCGTCGGAAATGCAGGAGAAGCACCCGCAAGAGTGGGAAAGGGTGAAGGATCGGTGTCAAATTACGGATGAGGATCTTCACATGATTGAGCGGGCTGCTTCTAAAATGGTGGTACTTTTTGATGCCAAAAATCGTGTTCACCCAGGCGACCAATTTTTTATGCGGAAGAAGAAGTGGGGATTTTGTGATGTGAAAAAGAAAAAGGGGTTTCTTATTCAAACGTTTGACCCCTCTGTGATCTACCGCCATCAGGTGTGTTGGACGCCGGATGTCATCCTTTCCTCGGTCTTGTTGCCTGAGCGGTTTACAACAGATGAGCTTCTGGCGGACTACAATTTTTATGAGCCCATCACCGCCAACGACTCATCTTTGAATTCCATGATTTTCAGTGTGGTGGCCTCACAATTGGGCATGATTGATAAAGCCATGTTTCACTTTAACCGTGCTCTTTTTGTTGACATTGACAACGTGATTGAGAACACAGGCGGTGGACTGCACAGTGTGGCGGAGGCTGGCTCGTGGTGGTGCTTCACAGGTGGTTTTGGAGGCATGAGGGTCCTTCGGGGCGTGCTACACTTTAATCCAATACTACCAGATGAATGGGATGAATACCGATTCACTGTGAGGCATAGTGGATGTCTTGTGCATGTCCATGTTACACGGCGAGTGGTAACTTACAAGGTTGTCGAAGGCCTCAAAGGCGACAGTAAACTGATTATTATTCACTCCAACACAAATCGTATTCATCTTCAACTGGGCATCCCGGCGTCTGTGCGCCTCTACCGTGACGTTCATGTATTTGATTTTGATTGCGTTGTCTTTGACATGGATAGCATTATTGAGGACGTCGAAGATTATCACTATGAGGCTTGGAAGAGCGCACTGGAACCCTTTTTATGGGATAATGTTGGTCATTCGTTCAAATTTACAGGGGAAATTTATCTTGCTTACCTGAAACATGACAGACCCCTCCCTGCTCTTCAGCGGTTTCTTGCCAAGCAGGGTGTGACAAATTTGTCTTTGGGTACCCCAGAGGATTCGATGGACCAGAACACCATTTACGGCCTCTTCCGACGCAAGCAATATCATTTTCGCAAAATTGTGCATTACCGAGGTTTGCGTCCGCGTGAGGGCATCCTGGAATTTCTATCAGAGCTGCGTCAGAGCGGTATTTCTGTCGGATGTGTCACAGTAAGTAAAAACGGGCATTGGCTGCTAAATGAGGCTTCGCGAGGGGTATTGATGTTGGACGGCTGTCTCGACGGTGGCGACGGTGAGAAGATGGGTTTGCGGTGGCGTCCTGAGATGGACTACTTTGCTTCAATGTGCGAGCAACTCAACGCTTCCCCATCCCGCACCGTTATCGTAATGGACGGTATCGACGGCTTCTCGAAGAGTGCCCTAGAGAAGTTCAAGATGATTGTAGACGTTGCAAAGGACCCAGAGGTTGTGACACTGGCGGTCCCGTGTACGAACATTTCAAAATTTTCCGAGTTGACAGTGACACTGTTGGATGAAAAGACGACACGAGATTACTCAATTTATGGCCGTGGCACAGCGTCCCGGCGCAGCAATCTGCGTCCTGCCAATGATATCTGGGTTAGCTTTGATGGTGGGACTCTCGAGACTTGAGACAAGGCAGAAAAAGAAAAACGAAAACAAATATGGGCACTTTGACGGTGAAAACGAAATGGTTGTGGAGGGGGTGAGGGGGCGTGAGAGGGAGGCAGCACAAGGCAATAAGGGTGAATAGCGAGAGTTTTGTGCGTTGTGTTTATTTTATTTTATTTTATCATTGCTGTTGGTTGAATTCATGGAGGAATTTATTGATCGGTCGTAGGGGGATGGGGGCAGGGCTCGGTAGAGGGAAGTTGTTTGGTGTTTTTTGTTGTTGATGTTTTCTCCCTCCCGCTCTCTTGTTGGATGGTTGTCTGCCTGCTCTGAAGGGGCAACGCCACATCCCTGCAACGGAAATGGAGCTCTGCTCATTCTACTTTTGTTGGGAGTTTATTCTACTCCTCCACTTTTTTTTTCTGCAGGGATGTACGCATCAAATAAATAACTGACGGTGTGAGCTTTTACTTGCATTATCAGCACATTTACAGTATGTTGCTCGCTTCGGCATCTATTTCTTTCTTGTTCTTGATGTATGTGTGTATGTGATAGGGCAGGAGGAAGAAAAAGACAGTGGGGTGGTCTGTGGGTGCCGAGACACAGCTGCACAGGAGGACAAGACGCAGCGTCAATAGTCCTGTTGGAAAGTTACTTGCTGATGGTGGAACGAAGAGCGCAGCGGAAGAAGTCCCATGGTGGGCCACGCGGCGATGCAAAAGGAGTTGGCAGGTATTTTTGGGGAGTGGCGGTTCTGGCTGCTGTGTGCCTTTGTCTTGTGGCAGCCCTGTGGCGGAGGGGGGACGGCCACAGCCTGTCTGTAGTGTGGGTGAACGATACGAGGGACCTTCTCACTGGGCTGCATCTGGCGAAGGAGGTGAGGAATGTCACCACAATTAGTCATGTCACTGATTGTATGATGCGGGTTGGTTTGACGCTGGAGAGCACTTTGGTCAGCGCAGCGGATAAGGCAACGGCCATAGCCGCGGAAAGGGATGTGACGAATACAGCGGAAACCTATCGGATGGCAACGGATTTTATTCTGGAAACACTCTCTCCCTTGCTGCAGAAGAAATCTTGGGATGCTGCTGTGCAGGAATATCATGCGGAACCCAAGTTTATTTGGCGGTGGATAGCTGTTGCGACCTATGCGTTGACGGCCGCTTTGCCGGAGTACTTCCTCGCCCTAGATAAAACAGGAACCCACGGCGAGGCCCTGGTGGCAGGACTGCAGTTGTTACTGTATGCATCGAATGCTGCTGCTTCGGCGTCGCCTCTCTTTGCGCCAGTTGCACACATGCCTCTTGTTGAGTGTGCTCACTACGAGAAAAGTAGTCGATGGAAGAAGTTTTGCGGCAGTGGGTTTTCAAATCTCAGCGGTCTGGAGGTTCGCCGTGCTGCTATTCTTGAGGAACTTATAGCGCTCCACCCTGACTACGCCCCGTTGCGACTTCACTATGCCGTCGCTCTCTCAATGAGCCGCCAGGCTGCAAAGTCAGTCGTCGTTCTTGAGGTACTAGAAAGGGAGCGCTCGAAGCTTCACACCCGAACGCATGTCGACCCTTTGCATGGGGCAGTGCTGGGACTGTGTGAGGCTTTTAGGTCTTTGGTGGGGAAAAAGGAACGTGCGGAGACGGCGGTGAGGGTGTTGGAGGGGTTGCGCCAAATCGACACGTGTGCTCGGCTCCTGCGGCCTTTTCACTCAAACTTGGGCAGCTGGCGTCACCGTTTCTCTGGACAAGAGCGACCAGATGTGATGGACAGGCGACAGGCAAGGCGTTTGTTGGACGCCATGACTGAAATTTTAAAGGAAAACAGGATGTTGGAGTCCCTACCCGCTGGGCTAAGAGCGTGTGGCGAGACGGATTGAAGAGTTATTCACAGTGTAGAAAGACACGCACAACGGCAACGAGAGGGATAAAAGGAAAAAAGGAACGTTGAGAGAAGGTGTTTCTGAGTTTGTTCTGCTGTGTGGAGGATGATGATGCGAGAACGTCATTTCGCTTTGTTGTTTGTGTCTCGCAATTTCCTGGTGATGATATCGACGGGAAGCTCTTTTTGTTGTGGGATACTTCCGCCGCTCTCTCTCCCCCTTATTTGTGTTTTGTCATATTCTTTTTGCGGCTGTTGAGGTGCTTTGCTTTGATTTCTTATTTCCGTATCCTGCCATAATGACAGTATTTTTTTTTCCGTTGCGAATAAAGAGTATTCCACAATGTGGCTGCTTTGGTTGCTACTCGCGGCACTTCTGGGCCTCATGCCGAGCGATGCAACTTTCAGCCCACTGGAGGAGGCTATGAGGCTTAATTACAGAGTTCTCTTTTCTCGGAATCCCCTTCCGCGTGGGCTCCACAAGGAACAATACTACCCATTGCGCCTCAGCAATGGGTCCAGGTTTGTTTGTGTCGTTCCGGAGGTTTCCCAGCAACAAGAAACCTCTGCGGTGCTCTTTGCGGTGAACCGTAACGTCCCAGCGCGCCTCCTTCAGCGCATTCACGAAAGGTTTCGCAACGTGTGCGTCCGTTTCATTGATGGGTGGTGGACCTACCAATTCTGTTGGAACGACGAGGTGGTGCAGCTGCACCTGCCGACGATGATTTTGAAAGATGGGGTTTTGTTGGCAACAGAGTCGCAGGGCTCACCGACGCGCTTTCTGCTTGGTGTGGCTCCATCAAAGGAATCCTTGAGCTTCCACTTTGGTATAGATCCTTTTGGGGATCGCTTCATCTCAACAAGGTATCCCAACGGTGATCTCTGCGATCTCACAAATGCTCCACGAGAGACCGAGATTCGCTTGTACTGCGCACAGTCTAACGAAGAGGAAAAGATGACGTTACGCGAGGTGGAGGCTTGTCGGTACGTGACGAGCCTGAAATCAAAATATGCCTGTATTCCAGAGCTGCAACCAGAAATGGGGCAGCAGCCCATTACATGTCATGAGATCGATTTTGCAACTCTGCAAGCAGTTTAAACTAGTGTGCGACAGGCGGAGGTCATGGATGAAGTACTGTACGCCACGGGCGGTGTGTTAGTGTTATTATTGTTCTTGCTCTTTTGCACCCATGCATACATGGGATTTTTATTCTGTGTGTTTTGGTGCTATCTGCCCCCTTCTATATCTCTTTCTTTTTTATCTCTTTTGTGGTGTACGGGATTTTGCATATCTATTTTTCGCCCCTCGCTCTATTTTTATTGGCTTATTTGCTTTGTGCATGCCTCTACTTCTTTTCCCATCCCGTCATTTATTCTTCCATTTTTTCCCTTTACGCACATTTTTTTTTGTGTATTCATGCAGTCAGGGTGGTCTGTTTTTTGTGTTTTGTGTGTGAGGGGCGGGGGAGGGAGGAAGTGAGGGGCAGTGGATAGAAAGGTATGGTATATGCCGTCTTCAAGCCGCAACAGTTGCATCCTTTACGCGCCAGTGACCGCGGTGTCTATCGGCTTGCAGCGTATTTGTTTTGCGATTGGGAACCGTGTGCTGGAAGGTGATGCGGACGTTGGCAGCAGTTCCGACTTTCAGGTGGCGGCGGAACTTCCCCACGGTGCAGTGATCACAGCGCTTGAGCAACATGCTGTGAGTGATCTCACCGGCGCACTGGACATCATTCTTTTGATTGGTAGCGGTGATTCCGTTTTTGTTGCCAACTCCTCCTCGCAGGAGGGGAGGTCTGGTGGCAGTCACCTCTCACAATTTGTACTGGACGACATGGCAAGAGTTCTGCGGCTCCGAAGTCTTGGACAGGGTGGGGGTGCCCTGGCGGTTACGGCCATGAACTCTGCGTACCTTATTCGCGAGGAAACCCTGTGCTCGGTGCATACTTCAGCAACGCCACCGCTGCTGGTGCGGTATGCAGTGACTGGGCTGGGAGTCGCGCTTGCTGCGGATGCCGTCGTGGTGCGGGACGATGCCGCCATGGCTGTTTTTACCGGCACATACGCTGGCTCGATTGCCGTTTGGCGAGTGCCCCCTGCGGGTACTCGGGGGCGAAATAATGAGGAAGAAACGGGAATCACGCATGGTGCTGTTAACCCCATCTCGTGGATCATTGCTCATCGCCCCGGCTGCGCCGTGTTTGCCGTGAAAGTCACTATTTTGAGGGATATCGCGGCGTCGGACCACGTGCGCTTTTGTGTGGCTACGTGCAGTGATGATCGCACCGCGACTCTTTACGTCTCCAACAGCGTTCCCGCCTTTTCCAGCATGATGGAGGGGATGAGGTGGAAGTGTTGTTGGCGGGGCGTCGGCGCGTCCTTCTCGCGGCGACGGGTGTTCGATGTGTCGCTGCTGCTCATTGCTGAACATGGCGGGATGCTGTTGCTAGCCACAGGTGGTGAGGACGGTAGCGTGCAGGTCTTTGGCTTTCCTTCCCAGGAGCTTATACGTGCAACAACAACCCTGACAAGTCCGACAGAAGCGGCTGAAGGAGAGGTGGCGCCTGTGGCACCAGTGAGGCTCCTACATCGTGGGCATCAGCACGACGGTCGCGGCGTTTATAAGGTTGCTCTTCTGCGCAACCCCGCCTCCGACGCTACCGCAGTGGTGTCGTGTGGCTTCGATGGTGCCGTTCACCACACCCCGGTGTCACCCTGCCCCGGGCGAAGCGCGATGATTGTCTTGCGCAATGTGCAGCCGAGGAGACATGTGCGCGGTGTGCTGTGTGACAACGAAGGCAGTTTCTTGGCCTGCACAGAGGATGAGCTTATTGTTTTTTTACAGGGCGCAACGGCAAAGGAGCAGCGACTGCCAATTCCCATAACGGGTACAAAGAAAGAGTTGCCCTCATGTCTCAGTGTGGCTGTGGGATCGTGCTGGAGGCGGCGGCAGCAGTACCTCCTCACTCTACTGGGCACCACAGGTGGAAAGGTGTACGGTATGTGGTACAGTTCAACTGGGGCTCAACCGCAGTGCCAGAAGGAAGAAGATGAAGAAGTGGAAATGAGAGATGTCGTTGTGCTACTCCATGCATCAGCGTCGCAGGCATCCAAGGTGTTGCTCGTACGAGGGATACTTCGGCAGGAGCGAGTGTTGCTTGTCAGCGTTCACGCCAGTGGGGTTCTCATTGTGTTGGAGGTGGATCCTTTTCATGGGATAGCGTCCAAGGTGTGGATGACGTCTCAGTGTGCTGGAGTACACACCACAACGCTAAGCATGTGTATGCTTGCACCCCAGCTTGTGACGCAACATGAAGAATATGAGCAACAAAAACAGCAACAAGGTCAGGATCCGGAGCTGCAACAACAGTATCTTTGCCTTTTTGTCGGCGACGATGACGGCTGTATTTCCGTGGATCTTGTCCAAACGATGGGGGATGCGTGCGCGAACACAAACCTGCTACCTCGGGAGCGTTTATTTCAGGGGGCTATCGCGTCTGTCACACGGCAAGCAAGTCATATGAAAGGTCCCTGTGAACGCATTACGGTGGTGTCTGCGCAGGGGGAAGTTCGTGTTCTTCTCTTGCATGTTGGAGGTCGAAATGTTGATATCCTTCCGGTATCGTCTCCGCTTCGGCTGCCGTGGCGTATTTCTTCCGTTCTCGCCTATAGCGAGACCGTTGCCGTGACACTGTTTGGAACCGACATCTCCGTCTACAGGCGTCATCCATCACGTTTCAGCTGGTATCTGGTTGCAGAGTATCACGGTGTAAGGGCCCCTCGGTTGCTATCCGCAACTATTTCAACCGATCTTTCTGGTGTTGGTGGTATCCCTGTGTTTGTGTGTCATTGCTCAGATGGCGTGCAGGCTGAATGGTTTACCTGCGACGCGTTGAGTGGGACGCGTATTCTTCTTGGTGGTGCCATCATTGGCCGTGAGTACAACACCACCCTCTTTCTTCCGAGCCCCGCATCTGCCGTGATATGTGGAGGTGAGAATTCGATGCTCACGGCGTTCTCACTCCCATACTCTTCACAGATGTGTATGGACACTCCCGTAGCTTTTACTGGGCCCCATGATTCAAATATTTTGGCGATGGCGACTTGTGCCGCAACTGGTGACAGTGGTAGTGTGCGTTTCGTAACTGTTGGAGGCTTGGCGACGCTGGCGCTATGGGAGTGGTCTATGCATCACAGCTGGCGTGTTATTGCCCACGTGGGCCAACACCGAGAGTCTGTCGCTGGTGGTGAGGCAGAAGGCCGTGGGGTTCCGCGCTTTTTGTCGGTCTGTGTGACATGTGAAGACATCGTGGTGGGAGGCAGCGATGGGAAAGTGCGATTGTTTTCTCTCAGTGAGGGCTTGCAGCTGCGTCGCAAGGTGTTGCTGTGCGCCTCCACGCCGAAGCCTGTGATGGCGGTCGCGACGCTGAGCGCCAAAGATCGGCTTGTTGTGATGGGCGACACAAACGGTGTTTTGGGTGTCTGCGGTGTGGCGGATGGAAGCGTCACGGCACGCCTCACGTGGGCCCGATCCGCCGTAAATGCCATTGCCGTGGGACGACAACTTCAGCCTTGGTTGCAGCAGCAGGATGGGCCGAGGCAGATGAAAACTGAGGAGGGGAATATGTTCGCCGTCTGGCGCGTGCTTGTTGCCATGGACTCCGGTGAGGTGGCGCTTTTGCATGTGGGAGTGTCGGCCATCGAAATGGTGTGCGCCGTGCGCGTCGGCCTCACCGCCGCCCGTGGGGTCTGCTGGATCCCCGGGCTACCCCGGGACGACGCGGACACCGACGTCGCTGTCACTGTCAACGACGAACGCCTGGCGTGCCTTTTCATACGTGAGGTGTCGGAGGCTACGGGGCGGACGGAGATGCTTTATGTGGCGTGGCATACGCGTGTCAATGTCCGCGGCGTCAGTGGCCTTGCCGTTGCATCCCTGATGGAGCGGTCGCTGTGTGCGGTGGTGGTGGGGGAAGGTGTCGAGGTTGTTTCGCTGCCCACGTATGGCAGCACGTAACAAACGAAACGGTAACGTTCTGAGGTAAATGTGACTGGAGATATTCACATTTAAAATGCGAGAAGCAACAAGAACCACAAGCAAGCATGAACTGAAATGCTCCAGATCGGTGTATCTGCGTGTTACAACTGTGCATGCGACAGTGTGTGTATATATATATTGATTTCACTTGAACCACATCCTCCCTCTTCTGCTGCCGTCAATGAGACTATATTACACTGTGTGTATATGTATACTCATACAATTAATAACAATATCCCCAATATATAAAGTATGGCTGCTCACAGGGTGCTGCACGCGCTAGTGCGGCGTGCAGCGAGGTATGAACGACCGTTCAACAGTCAAGACTCACTTTTGATCATTAAGGCGTTACAGGCCCTGCGATATCGCAGCGACGAGGTGAGGGGTGTGTGTGAAAAGTGTGCCTTTGCCATTGCATCTTCCCGCATTACGGTTCCGGTTGAGCGTGTCATCGAGGCTCTGAGTAGCCTTTTATCGCTTCAAGCAGCCCCGCTTCCCATCGTGCATGAAAAACTTGCGGAACGGCTCTCTGAAGTCACCACACAAACGGTTTCTTCACGTTCCATCCAGAAGGCGGCTGTTGTTGTTATGAGGCTTGGAAAGCGGTACGGAAAGCGTGCAATAGCTGATCACCTCTTCGACGTCCTGACACATGAGGCGATATCGCACCCAAACGACGTTGCACTGCAATTGGCAGTGATTAGTGTGTTTATGTACACCAGTACCGCGGCGAAGGCAGAGGCGATGCGTTGCCAGAGAACCACAAAGGTCGGGGAAGAGGCGGAGGATGGGCGTATTATTGCAGTCCTAGACGCAGCCACACGTCTTGTGGATGCCCGTGTGTTGAGCAGTCTGCGTGGGAACAATGTGCTGCAGGCAGTTCACATGTTCTCTGTCCTTTCATTGCGGCCCTCAACGGGTGGGTCAAGCAACGGCATAGCACAAGTGGGCTTCAATGGGGGTAGTAGCTCTGGTGTTAATAGCCACAGTCACGGCACAACGCTGAGGTGGGCCCGTGTCGAGAATGCCTTTCATGAGGAGTTGCAGCTCTCCACTGTTGTTCCGGGTGGTTACGCACAGTTTTTGTTTGATTTCATTTCGACCTTTCGCACCGACGACAACGCTGGCGTTGCGATGAAGCTGGCGCTGTTGAACGTCGTCTGCCAAGAGAACTTCTACAAGGCGTTGAACTGCTATGATGTGGCGAAAATCGCCATGGCAGTGAGTCATGGCCTTCCAAGTCAGCGTTCCTACGCAGGGCAACAGGGGCTGCGGGGTGGGGTGGGGACGCCAGAGGCAAAGGAAGACGGAGGCGGATCAGGGAGGGATGGCCACCACGAGACACTGGAGGACCGCACGCTGCTGCAGGTCGTTGCGAGTCTCGTGCGGCAATTACAGTTCTTTGACGACGTCGCAGGTTGGTCGCGCCCTGGGGGCGGACGTGTGGAACAAGTGGTTGTTGGCGCTGTGTGGAGGGTCACACAGAAACTTGTTTGCAACATGCGTCTGGAGACGGAGGAGGTTCGGACAACTGTAGCGCAGCTTGTAAAGCTCACGCAAGGCATTGCCACAAAGCTGCCTGATGTATGGCCGTGGGTGTTGTACTCCATGAGCGTGTGCGCCCGCACGGCGGTGTACACGGAAGGCTTAAAGGATGGGATGGAACTTCTTATACAGGAGTCGTTTCTTGCACACAGCCCGGAAGAGTTACCGCTTCGATCTTGTGTTCAGGCGTTATACGCGGTTTCCATCCTCATGGTGCCAAGCACTGAGGAGAAGAGACTACTGCGACGAAGTTCACAGGCGGCTGTGGATGTTCGGGAACGCGTTCGTGCACGTAGCGCAGGATGGACCCACGAGCACCGTTTTGTTACGGATATGCTGCGGCGTCTATGTCGGTTCCGATTTATGGACTACTCGGGCGATGATTTTCCCATGCTTTTGCAGGCTCTCACTACTCTGCTGGAGGTGACGACGGCACAGCACGCACAAGTTCCCTCTGCTGTCCAGCAGCTGGTGGAGAGGGTGTTATGTTACATGCAGGGCAACCGCAACTTGGAGTGGTGTCGCGTGCATGGTGTGGGTATTACATGCACATTGATTTCCATGGCGGAATACCTTCCGGAAGACTGCAAACAATTAAAAGATGTGACGAAACATTTTTTTCTCAAACTGCAGTCTAAAGAAATGATAGATTTGGGCGTGCTGCGTCGTTGGATGGAGCAGTTGTCGCAGCAAAAGCGCCGCGGGCCCACTTCAAAGTGGTTGTGTGAAGAGGTTCTGATGTTGCTGGCGTTGCAGATGCGGCGCATCTGTACAGAACGGAAGGAACCTTTTTATTTTTTACTAAACGCTTTGGAATGTGCCCATGAAATTGGTGGTTCCATTGCGTATATGCATTCATCTGAGGAGGCTTCCAACATCCGGCATGTGACGATAATTTTTGATTTAGCGTTGTTTCTGCAGGATGGAAGTCTGACGTCCGTGGATGCGGCACATGTTCTGCGCATTATGAGTTACGAGGTGCGTGACAGCGGCCAGGTGCGGGTCTCTGCTGCGCACATTGTCCAGCTACGTTGTATTGCATGCGGCGATCGGACGGTTGCCAGCATGCGCGTGGAAACTTTACTCCACTTGTTGCGTGCAAATGCCACTTTGCCAGCGTCAAGGGCGCTCTTTGATACAGTGACCCTGGAATACATCATGAGTGTGGTTTGCTATCACATGACGGAACACCGACAGGCCCTAATACAGCGAGGAGATGCAAGTAAGATTGTGCATGCCCTTTTGTTCTCCCAGCTGTTGCTACGCTTGAAGTGTTCATTTAGGCGTTACAATGGCCTTGTAGAGGCCATAAATGATGTCTTGGATACTCTGGAATCCACTGGAGTGGAGAGGCCAGAGACGTTGTTTCAGCTGCGACTTTTGTGTGGTAACTGAGCGTGAAGGTGCAAGATTGAAGGGGAGAAAGGAGGGAGGGGGGAGGGGCGATGAGGATGCGGGTACGGACGCGTGATCGTGCGAAGCGTGGTCATTGTGGCTTTTGTTGTGGTGGTTGTTATTGTTTCCGTCTCGTTTCCTCTCTTTCGATTTGTATATGTCGTGTATGGTGTGGGGAGGGTCGGTTGGATCCCGCACGGGCTAGACCCTCGCTCTCCCCGCTCTCGCACGCACACACACGCATATATATATATATATACGTTGTGGATAATAGATAACTACTAAAAGTGACAGCGGGTAGCCTTGCTGCTGCAAATGCCACGCAGGCGCAAGCGGCATCGGGGCGAGGAAGAAAGCGCCGATGCCCCCACCACAACTGCGCCGCCCGAACTCGACACTGTGGCCCCAGCTCTTCAGCAGCAGTCTTTTTTGGTAACGTCGAAATCACATCGTCGCCGTGCGACTGCGGTCACGCCATCGTTTTTGTTTGCGCCGATCACAGTTCTTCCGCCGTGGCAGCGTGTGGCGCTTTCAACATTGTGCCGACTACATGAGAGTCAGGCGAACGAGCACCGTGCGGCCGCTCATGGGCGTACGCTGCAGAGGGATCTCACGCGCTATCATGAGGACCTCCAACGGCGTGAGGATCGTCTGCGCGCCAAGCAGCGAGAGACGAGAGCAAGGCTTGGTAACAAGTTGTTTACAGCTATTGAGAAACAGTGGGCACGGCGCGGCGATGTGTTTCAGCAGCTTCTATGTGTGGAGTTTGATGAGGTGAAGCGGCGGCAGACGGAGCGGCGACAGGAAGACCTCCTTCGTGAGGCGGAGAACACCACGCGCACGCTGCTTGATGATATATTTTCTGAGACCAAACCTCCGTCTCTTCCTTCTGCCCATGGCGATGACGATGACGCCAACACGGCGGCAGTTACAGCTGCGCTGCAGAACAGTGACATGACGGGAGGCATGAGTGGGTCTGTGCTGGAGAGCTCCCTCTCTTTGCTTGACACGCAGAATGGACGACGGCCACTGCGTGACTACCAACGCTCCGCACTGCGTTGGATGACAAACCTCTATACGAAGAAGCTGAATGGCATCCTGGCTGACGAAATGGGGCTTGGCAAGACGATTCAAACCATTGCTCTGCTTGCTTTTTTTGCCGAGTACAAAAACGATTGGGGGCCACACCTCATCGTTGTGCCTACGACGGTCGTGCTCAACTGGAAGGCGGAGTTTCAACGCTGGTGTCCAGGGCTGAAGGTACTCGTCTACATTGGTTCCCGCAAGGAGCGACACCGCCTGCGCAAAGGCTGGATGGGAGAGGATGCGTTTCACGTTTGCATCACCTCCTACAATCTGATGGTGACGGAGCGGGCAGTGTTTCGCCGACGGCCATGGGGATTTCTTGTACTTGACGAAGCGCATCAAGTGAAGAATTTTATGAGTAAGAAATGGCAATCGCTCTTTGATTTGCAGGCGGAGTATCGCCTGTTATTGACAGGGACGCCGCTGCAGAGCTCGGTCATGGAGTTGTGGTCGCTCTTTCACTTTCTACTGCCATCTGCATCTGCCTTTAGCTCCAACGAGGAGTTTCGAGAATGGTTCAGCAACCCCATGGAGGACATGGTGACGGGGCGTACGTCCCTCAATGAGGAGGTTGTACGCCGTCTTCAGTCGCTGCTGAGGCCTTTTATGCTGCGCCGGCTGAAGAAAGATGTGGAGTCTCAACTCCCCTCCAAGACGGAGAAAGTGGTCGTGTGTCGCCTTTCCCGGCGTCAAAGGCTTTTGTATGATGATTACATGCAGCTTACGGAAACGCGGGAACGTATTCGAGGCGGGGCCGGTGGGGTGCTGGGGGTGTTGTTGGCGCTCCGCAAGGTCTGCAACCACCCTGACATGTTTGAAGAGCGTCGGACGCTTTCCCCTCTGGCTCTGGATTGCCTCAGTGAAATCACGCTTCTGGTGCCACGTGACATTTTGCTTCGGGGCAATGACTTTAGTGGTCGCTATCGCTTCCAGAAGTGGCGCCTCTGCGTGGAGGATGTGTCCCTTGCGCTGGAGCGCAGCGACGACATGTTGTTTGATGACGCATGGTTGGATTGCATGTGGCTGCGCCTATTGTTGAATGACCAGCCACTTGAGTGCCCCTTGTCACGGTACTCTGCAGCGAATTTCCGTTGGCCAGTCGATGCTTCCGTGGAGAAGATCGTGGGGAGCGATAGGAAAGATTGCTTTAGCGACGCTGTGTGGTCCATGATGTGTCAACAAGTTCGAGAGCAACAAGCATGCGCCCATCAACGCTATGCGACGACAGCCACCATTCAAGCTCAACAATACCAACGCATGGAAACTGCAGTGCGTGTGTGGTACCCTCGCTCTATTGAGATTGTATCCTACCAAGGGCTCGGTACTCTCCCACCACGGCTGCACCCGGATGTTGCGCAGCGTGCTTGCGCCATTTTTCCTATTGCACAAAAGGTTGCGGTGTATGTCCCTCGCGTTGCGGCCGTGCACCCACCACGTCTGCACTGCAGGCTTCCTGTGGCACATTACCTGGCGTTTCGTTCGCACACTCGGGAAAGTTTGGCGCCGCTGCTTGCAATTAGTAAGTCGCCTAGTAATTATCACACACGACGTGGCGTCTTTGACGCCTCCTCGTTTCTTGCTGAGTTGTGGCCGTTGCATGTGCGCCGCTGCTTCACTTTTCCAGACAAACGGCTGCTGATCCACGACTGTGGCAAGCTGCAATTCCTGCAACATGCCCTCAAACAACTGCGTCGCGATGGTCACAGAATGCTCATCTTCACGCAGTTTGTGCAAATGTTGAATATTCTGGAACGGTTTTTGTCCATCGTTGGCATTCCATACCTTCGAATTGACGGAAGCACCCCCGCTGAGAAAAGGCAGGCCTTTGTGGATCGCTTTAACGACGACGATCGCATCACGTGCATGATTCTTTCCACACGCTCAGGCGGAATAGGCCTAAACCTCACAGGCGCTGACACCGTTATATTTTATGACAGCGACTGGAACCCAACGATGGATCTGCAGGCGCAGGATCGGTGCCACCGCATTGGTCAAACGAAGCCGGTGACGATCTACCGCCTGATCAGTGAACACACAGTGGAGGAGAACATCTTGCAGAAGGCACGGGAGCGTAAGAAGCTTAACAATGTCGTCATTCGCGGCGGGCAGTTTCACGCCATGGCAAGTGTGGATGAAGTGTACGAGGACAGTGCGGCGGCATTCGCGGCGCTCTCCGACCCGGTGCGCCTTCGAAGTTTTTTCCACGACCTGGATGAGGATGCCACCGTCATGGAACACCAATGTCCGCGAGGTGAATTGCATGGTAAGGACTCGAGCATGAAAGAGCCGGTGGATATTCGAGCAGAGATGATGCGGCTTGAAGACCAGGAAGATCGTGAGGCGCAGCAGAATGTGGAGGAGGAATTGCGGGAGCTGGAGGAGCAGAAGCGAAACGATGAGGCCGAGTTGGGCGCTGAAGACGAAGAAGGGGATGACGCAGACGCCGACGAAGAAGGTACACCAGGAGAAGGAAGAAAAAGAAAACGAAGGAGGGAAGAAACGGAGGAGGAGCGAGAGGAGGGACTGATGCAGCTCCCGATGACGGATAATAATAACGACAATAATGTTGCCTTGGTTGACACGCACGCCGGTGTCCCACGTGGGGCGTCACCGATGGTGGTCCACAGGCGGCGTGATATTATGCGGCGGCAACGTACCCCACTTGATCGTCTTCTTTCCGTACGGTTTGCCACCTGTCACCCGGCAGAGGCAAGAAATCGCTATGATGCCTTGTGTGAGACCTACGCAGCCCACGTGGGGGAGAATGAGCTACCACAATTCACAACGGCATTTCAGCTGTAATGAGCTTTCGCTTGAATGTTTTTTCTTTCTTTCTGTACGTACGTCAGTGTGTGTGTTTCTCGTTGTATGTCTTGTGAGCTCTCCGCCTGTTCTTTTCACAGATGCAGAACCACTGCTATATTTCTCCTTTTGTTGTTGTTGTTGTTTTTTTTCGCAGCTTATTTGTCTTTTTATTTATTTTATTATTACGCTTTATTGGCATTCCACCACACCCTCTGCCTCTGCCTCTCTTGGGACATCTCCTTTCTCAGTCGTTGGTTGCTCGCTGTTTAGCTCTGCCGGCGTGGAGCTGTAGGAATTACTGTCCGCCCCGCCACTCGGGTGACTAAAGCACCGCACAGACAGCTGAAGGTGCTCATCTGCATAGTTTGAGAAGCGAGGAACGCGACATGTCGATCCCACAAGTGAATCCTGCAACAGGGAGGAAGTTGGAGCCTGTAGAGCCCAACTCCATGGAGGACGTGAAACGCGCCGTCTCCCACGCGCAGGAGGCACAGAAGGCGTGGGCGTCCCTCTCTTTTGGGGAGCGGGCGAAACATGTGAGAAAAGTGAAGCGTTTCTTAGCAGATAACGCGGAACGTGGCGCAGCCATCATCTCGCAATGTAACGGCAAAACGCGTCATGATGCGTTGGGGACGGAGATCCTGCCAGGCGTGATGGCCTGTGAATGGTACGCGGCGAATACTGCCCGTGTTCTCGCCCCACAGAAGCTGCCTTGTGGAAATATGTTGTTTTTCAACAAGTCAAATACGCTTCAATACATTCCTCTTGGCGTTGTTGGAATCATTACTGCGTGGAACTTCCCGTTCACGATTCCATTTATTGAGGTAATTATGGGATTGATGGCAGGCAATGGCGTTGTACTGAAGGTGGCAACGCCGACGGCGCACGTTGGTCGATTTATAGAAGAGTGCATCAACGCCGGGGATTTTCCTTCCGGCCTTTTTGCCCACGTCGTCATGCAAGGTGCTGATGTTGCCTTGGGAATGTTGCAGGCAGGTGTGGACAAGATTTTCTTTACCGGGAGCGTGCGGGTTGGGAAGCAACTTATGGCCCTTGCAGCGGAAACCCTCACACCGGTGTCGCTGGAGCTCGGTGGGAAGGACCCAATGATTGTGCTTGCCGACGCGTCCATTGAGCGGGCCGTGAACTGTGCGTTGTGGGCTGGATTTCAAAATGCAGGACAGTCCTGTGGAGGTGTGGAACGTATTTATGTTCATGAGTCCATACATGACAAGTTTCTTGCGGAGTTGGCCGCGAAGACGAGGGCGCTGCGGCATGGAGCGGATCTGAACTTCAACGTTGACATTGGGGCGGTGACCACCAAATCCCAACTCCAAACCATTAAGGAGCACGTGGAGGAAGCCGTTTCCCGTGGGGCCCGTATCGTGGCGCAGAGCACTCCGACGGGGGATGTTTCCAGTGGAAATTTTTATCCTGCCACAGTGTTGACAGGAGTGACAGCCGACATGCGTGTTATGCGGGAGGAAACATTTGGCCCTGTTCTGCCCGTGGTGCCATTTACGACGGAGGCAGATGCAATTGCTATGGCGAATGACTGCAGATTTGCACTGACGAGTAGTGTGTTTTCTAGCAGTCGCGCCAACGCTCGCCGTGTGGCGGACAAACTGGAGAGTGGTGTGGTGAGCATCAACGATCATCTTTACTCGCATGGTATGAGCGAGTCACCGTGGGGTGGGTGGAAAAATAGCGGCATTGGTCGCACTCACGGTGTGTTGGGACTAAGAGAAATGTGTAATGTGCGCTGCATCAACGATGACTGTCTTCCTAGTGGGTGGGTTCACCGGGATCTGTGGTGGTTCCCACATAGTAACGAGTCGTACAATACACTCCTGCACGCTGTCGCCGTTGTGGCCCCACATGGATTTGTAAACGCGTTGTTGAATCTTGTCTCGCTGGGGAAGCGAATTGGCGTAATGTTCCGACCCTGGTCTGTTACCACCGCCGCTAACGGTAAGGCAGTGACGTGTGAAGGGCTACAAAAGGAAATTAAAAAGTAGGGTTGCGTAGATACGTATTGGTCACACGCCCTAACCCTCAATGGTCCCAAAAGCATGGGAATCTTTGACTGTGTGTTTCCTGCTTTATTTCTGTGTCTCTGTCTTTGTGTATTCTTCGTATTGCCGGTGACGCTGGTGGGCAGAGCGTGCATGTATGTCGTGGCAACCGTTGGATCACGTTGGGTCGCAATTTGTTGTTGTTTTTTTTGTTTTGTTTGTTTGTTTGTTTTTTAGACGCCGTGTGGCCGTTTGACGCAGCAGCATCTTTGTAAAGTAAGGAGGAACGCGGAGAAGCAGCGGAGGGCGCCAAAAAAACAAAAGGGAGGGGGAACGCAGCCGAAAGAAGCATGGAGGTGACCTTCACTGTCTCACCGGACGAGCGACAGCATGTGGAGTACCTGGCCGACCTCTTTGCTGTCATTGTCGCCATTGAGAAGGTGGAGAAGGCGATGCTGCGCGACCTCATCACGCAGGAGCAGTACGATGCGACCATTCGCCGCCTGCTGGAGAAGTACAAGTCTAGCGTGTCCTACCTGGAGCAGGGCCGCAACCCGTACTACACCACCATTGACTCCTTTTGGGAAAACTACGGCTCCAAGTGCCCTGCCGCACGGGCCCGCATCCAGCTGGGCCTCGCTGACAAGGACCAACAACAAAAAGATGGACACACGAACACCACATTGGTATTGGAATGTGGTCAGTACTTCATTACACTCATGGATTCCCTCAAGCTGCAGCAGACCGCGGTGGATCAGTTGTACACGCTGCTTGCAGATCTAATTCAGGGACTGAAGCGTTTGGGGGCATCCGATCAAGACTTCTTTCACCGTCTCCTGGTGTGGAAAGAGAAGCTGGACACAATGAAGGCGTCCGATGAGTTAAACGAGAGGGATACGCGGGAGTTTGCATTTGTGCTGGAATGCGGATATCAGGCCTTTTACGCCTATCTTAGTGACATCAGTACAACGAAGACAAGATCATGAGAAACTAGCAAGCGGCAGAGAGTGCAGGGGGTTTGGGGGTCTGCAGATGCGCTGTAGCCCCATGCGCTCCTTCAGAGAGAAGAGGTGTCAGTTCAAATTATTATTATTATTGTATGTTTTTCTCAGATTACGGTGGTGGTGGTTGTGGTGCTACTACTGATTTCACCTTATTTCTCTTCTTTATTTCTGCTGCATATTTTATGATTCTGACATCCCCAGCTGTTACTCCATTCTGCGGCACCACATCGTATAGGGCAAAGAGCAAACCGAACGTAACGTAACGTAATACACAGCCAAAGTAAGAGAAATTTATATAGTACGGGGTGGGTGGGCGCAACAAATAGAAAGGGAAAGTGGGGTTGTATGTCGAGGTATGTTCCACCGCACCGCAAGCGGGAGGTGAGTGAGATTTATGGGGATAAAACCACAGAGAATAACGGTGGGAAGACTACCTCGGAGGCGCTACAGCGTGAGTCGTGGCAGGCCCTCAGTCGTAGCATTACTGGCATTATCAACCGAGTAAGTGGTGATTATGTGGAGTTGTCTGCCACCGAGTTGTTTCGTGAGAACATTATCCGTGGCCGAGGTCTGCTCTGCCGCAGCCTCATGCGGGCGCAGTTGGCGGACCCTGACCTTTCAAACGTCTTTTCCTCACTTGTGAGTCGTGTAAACAAAGAGTTTTCTATAATTGGTCTCCTTCTTGTGAAGCGGCTTGTGGTGCAGTGGTGGCGGTTGCACCGCCGCCGGGATTGGGCGGCGCTGCGCTGCGTCAGCCGCTTCCTCGCCTGGCTCTACATCTTCAATGTGGTGAATGTGGATGTCATCTATCAAATTATTCTCGCCCACCTTACCGCGGAGAAGCGCTGCGACGACGATGTGGATCAGGCGGCGGCTCTCTTTCGTGAAACGTTTCGTGCCATGTTGCAGCGAGACGTGGCGGAGTTTCACGCCCACGTGCTGACACCGATTCGTGACCTCCTCGCGATGGATGACGATGCGTTGCGCCTCTCTGCGCGAGCGCAGACGTTGCTGGAGGCGTGTCTTCGCGAGGTGCAGGAGTGGGAGCGTGTGAAACACACAACGTCGATCATTCCACCCCATTTACTGCTGGTGGAGCCCAGTGAGCAGAAGTGTCACGATGTGGACCTGGATGAGGCGGCGACGATGAATGCGGAGGAGCAACTTGATCGTTTCGCCTTCGATGTGGAGTACGATGCACACGAGGACGCGTACGAGGCGGCGCGGTGTGCGGTTCTGGGCGATGATTGGGAAACTAACCTTTTGGAGCAGGTGGCAGCGGCTGAGGAGGAGGAGGAGGAACATGAGGCAGCCTCTGAAGAGGAAAAGGAGGAGACCAGGGGTCAGGGACGGGCCGGACGAGAACAGCAGTCCTCTGCGGACACCACGAAGCAGCTTGTTGATGAACGTGAACGCCAGCTGCGTAAGGATGTGTACATGGCGATGCGTAGCAGCGTCCGTGCAGACGAGGTGGTGCACAAGATCCTGAAGTCGATGCCTGCCCAGGCGGAGCGCACCGTGTGCTTTATGGTGATAGAAGGATGCTGTGAAGAGTCTATCTACAAGCGAATCTACGGTATGGTGGGGGAGCGCCTGTGTAAGAGCAATGCAAAGTTTCAAGGCTTTTTTGCGGAGGCCTTTTGCGCCCGCTACGAACACGCGGAAGATCTCGTGGAGAAACAAATTGAGTACACGTGCAAAATTTACAGTCATCTTTTGCGTACAAACTCACTGCCATGGCACAGATGCCTTTCTGTGCTTGACATCGTTGAAAGCGACGTGTCGCAGCGACTTATGATTCAGTGGCTGCTGCAAGGGATGGTGGAGGCGCTTGGGATGCGTGTGGTGCTGGAGCGCTTTGAGAAGGACAAGGAGCTGCGGTCAAGCACGGCTAAATTATTTCCTCTCACCGCAAATGAGGAGGGGTTGGAGCGGGCCGTGAATCTTTTTGAGGCGATGGGGCTCGGCGAGTTAGGTGCCGGTGTGCGTGCACAACTGGAGAAGGTGCGACGCTCACGAATGATGATGCACGCGTCCGGCACCTCTAACTACAACAGCCGGGGTTCCGGCGGTGACGCGGACTACTACAGGAACCACAAACGATTAAGAGAGAACATGATGGAGTACATTTAGCAAGGATGAGGCAGCTCGAGGGAGGGAGTGGAGCTTGTGGTAGCGAGGTTTGGAGCCTAGTGGGGCAGCGCGCGGTGCCTCTGACGACTTCTCTGACTCGCGGTATGAAGGAATTGAGATAAGTTTGTGAACGCAAACGGGAATAACATTGTATGGATGTGTATTTTACGTTGGCAGTTTTTTTTTAACCCCCTATTTGTCTTGTCTTTCTCTGACTGTGTGTCTGTTTGCGCGTGTGCGTGTGTCCGGGGAAGAGGAGTGTCGGTTCTCTGCTTTGCACTTTTTTTTTGTCCTTTCTTCTCTTTTTCTTGCATGCATGCGTGGTCGTTGCGTGCCCTCGCCGTTGCTGCGTCTCCACACACTCAGCCCATTCCCCACTTCATTTGGTCCGATTAGCGTTCAGGAGGTAAGCTACAGGAAGGAAAAAGGAAGAGAAATAGGAGGAATAGGAAGACAAGGTATTTAAAACAGTAAGAAAGCGAACCATATATGGAAGATCCAAACCGTAAGCCTACCAAGGCCCATGTCTGTGTGCGTGTGCGCCCATTTACCGAGGCGGAGGCGAACGTCTGCCCAGAGGATAGTCCTGTCCCGCGCGAGGTTGTTGTGTGGGACTGTCACCGCAGCTTGACCGTCCTTGATGCAGCTAACGGCTTTGTGCCGCGCAAAAACGGTCAGTTTGATATAGACAATGTGCTGTGGTCGTTTCGTGACGAGGAACGGCCAAAGATGGTGCTGCACACGCAGAAGGACGTCTACAGCGCGGTGGTTGCTCCCATGATCCCGCAGATTCTAGATGGTTACAACACGGCGTTTTGCGTAGCCGGTGCCACTGGAGGCGGTCGCGTCTATTCGCTCTACGGCGATGACGTGGATGGCCTAAACCGTGGCATTCTTCCACGATTTGCAGAGAATATTTTTAACGCATTTAAGCGGGAAAAGCATGAAAATATTAAAATCAACTGTGAGATTGAGGCGGTCGACGTCTCGCCCAACGAAACCTACGTGGATCTGCTCGCACAGCGCCGAAGGACTTGTCCGACCACTGCTGTCGAGGAGCTAAAACTCGTCCACGATGCCACGGAGGGAATTAAGTTGCAGGGCGTCACACGGGTGGAGGTGGGAAAAGCAGCCGATGTTCTCAGTGTTCTGCGGCAGCTTTCACGTGTGGTACCGAAGCGCAGCGGCTGCCACACGGTTCATTTTCGTTTTGTTGAGACCTTTGACTTCGCGGATCCAGAGCAGCAGGAGCAGGTGGTGTCCAAGTCCCGCCGCATCAGTGTGCTCTTCGTCCTGCTGCGCAACATGCCGGCCGCCTTCCATCGCTGCATAGACGTGGCGGTGGAGCACGACAGCGGGGAGAACCCGCTCGCGAAGGTTCCAGTCCGCGAAACGGCCTTTACAAAACTATATCCGGATCTCTTTCAGCAGGGCTACAATCTCTCCTTCCTCTGCTGCGTCAGTCCCTTCTACGAGCATGCGCGCGAGAGTGTCCAGACCCTGGTCCTGGCGACAAAGTTTATGAAGCTGAAATGCAGACCGAGGCTGATGCACGACGAAGCGCTTATGGAGCTGCGGAATCTTTCGGAGGAGGTGAAGAACCTCAAAACGGAGGTGGTGAAGCAGATGGAGTCGACACAGATCGTGCAGCAGGAGCTCAATTTACGTGAGGTGGAGCTCATGAAGCAGGAGGCTGCCCACCATGGGGCAGAGCGAGCGCTGCGAAAGGCGGAAGAGGCCATTGCGTTGGCGAGGCACGCCATTGTGTTAAACCGATACCGCACGGAGAGGCAGAAGAAAAATTTTGAACATGAACATAACACCAAGATGAAAAGGCTGAGTGCGGCAAGGGCGGAAAAGGAAGAGATGGACAAATCCCTCGAGGAGGAGATGAAGCGCAAGCAGCAGCTTGAGGAGGTAAAAAAGACCTGGGAACGGAAGGTGGAGGCGCGGGCGGAGAAGAATGCGGCGTTTGATGCCCGTCTTAAGGCCGATGAGGCAAAAGAGAAGCAGATGGAGAGGATGCAGAAATTTATCGCCGCCTCACAAGAGGAGCGGCGTCGCATCCTTGCGGAAGAGACGAAGGAGAAATTTCTCAACGGTGCGGCGGCGCACGCGAATGAGCTCACACTCCTACGGGAGGCACAGAACAAGGCGGATGGCCGCTGTCACGCACTCGAGAAGGACTACGCCGTCGTCTCCGCCGCAGAAAAAGGAACGGTGGAGAATGCGGAGGTGCAGAAAGAGAACGCACGACTGAAAAAGGAGATTGTGGACGTGGAAGCGGAAATCGTGCATTTGCAAGCAGAGATTGGCAAGCGACAACCCGGCTGTCAGTGCGTTTTCATGTAGACAACACCAACACCTATGGAAATGAAATGAAAAATTAGAGCTTGACGGGTGTGTGACACTCCGCGGGCTTCCTCTCTCGTTCCATTGTTTTCTTGCATTCTCCGTGTTGCCTTGCGAGTTGCGTGCGAACTCTGAGGAGGATGTTTTCCCGGCTGCACGTACAATCAAGCAGGAAAAAGATGAAGAAAAATTATAGAGACAACTAAAGAAACAAGTTGTGATTTCTGCGTCATGTTTATATGTCCGTGCATTAACATATTGTTTACCTAAATTTGAAAAAAAAAAAACATTTGTGTACCGACCCCCCTCACTCCTTCTCTCTCCATCGTTCTATCCATCTTTCTCTCCCTCAAGCCACATTCTCTCGGGGTCTCTCTTTATGCCTGTGAGTCTCTCGGCCTGAGTATGTGAAGAATATGAGGGGTGTGATGGACTGAATCCGGGTAAAAAGGAAAACAACCACACCAAATAAAATAAAAAAAGATGATCGTGGTTGTAGGAACAGAATGTGTGTGGACGTTTTTGAGCAATACCGCCTGCGAAAAAATGAGAAAAAAAAAAACAACGTGGAGACAGCGGTTCAACGAAGAAACATGGGTGAGAATGCGTGCGGTGCAGTCTTTTTTTTGTTTGTTTGTTTGTCTGTATGTATTTTTTTTGTTTTTTTTCTTTTTGTTTTTGGCGGATAAAGGCGTTTTTTGTGCGTGGGTGTGTTTTACTTTTCCTCCGTCACGGATGCATGCGTGCAACGTTATACACGAAGGAGAGGGGGACGATGGTGGAACTGCACATTGGGCCTCAATCAATGAAAACTCTGTATGTGTTGCGTGTATGGCTGTGTGTTTTCCCCCCGTTATCGTTTCCATGTTTGTTTGTTTGTGTTTTTTTTTCAACAACGACAACTACTACAAACATGACATATATTTCACACGTGTGTCATCTTGCGCGTATTTATGTGTGTGTGGGTGTTTACATGTTTTTTTTCTTTCTCTGTGCCGTTTGTGGGATGTGTGGTGTACGTGGGCCGCACAGGCTGACGTCAAGTCGTAGTCGTGGTAGGAGATATCCATAATCTAAGAAGTAGGCTGAGAAAGAGCAAGAGCAGCATATACGCTGTATTGGGCATCGCGGAGTCTAATCGCCGACAGAAAGAAAGAAGAAAAAAACAGGAAGTAGTAGCAGGACAAAAAAAACGGCATACACACACAAAACAAAAATCATATTATGGTGGTTCTTTCCTTGTTGGAGAACGTCAGGGATGCAGCGACTCGCCTGATACCAACGCCGTATACAGACATCGTGGAGGAGGCCACGCAGCCGCAGTTGTTCGAGCCACAGTATAGAGCCGTGTCCATTTTGTGCAGCGGCGCGAACAGCGGCAATGATGCGGCGGTAGACGTGGTGCGGGCTGTTCGTCGACGCATCACGGACAGTGATGCCAAGGTGCAGTTTCTAACGATCCTCGTCCTTGACGCGTTAGTGAAGAATTGTGATGTTGCGGTGCACCTTGAGTTGGCCTCACAGAAGGGGTTGCTGCGGGATCTGCAGAACGTCGCCACGCGAACATCGTGCGTCACTGAGAAGGAGCGCATGGCAAAGAGGGCCGCTCTGACACTCATTTTGAACCTCTCCATTTGGTTTACTGGTCACCCGGATGGGCGACTGTACATATTGACGACAATAAGCGATGATGTGCGGCATGTGATGGGCCCAAACGCATTTGAAGGGATTCACCCGGACACCAACACACATATAATCCCTGCAGCGAACCGCACGCGACAGCGAAGTAGACCTGAGGCTCGCGGGCAGACGAAGCCAGCTCGACAGCGTCAGCAGCGGCAGGAAGGACCCATTGTGGACGCTGTGGGCATCAACTACCCAACGGAGGAGGAGCTTGCCGCCATGCTAGATTGTTGCATGACCCTGGCAGAGTATTTGAACAACGCAAAGGTTCAGCCGGATGGCTCCATTGAGGCCGATGATGTTATTTGTGGGTTTCGTAAGAAAATACTGGAAGACCAAAAGCTGGTGGCGGTGCTTCTCAGCTCTGACCTCAACCTTGACAACCGCGACATTTTACGTGATGTGTCCGGTGGCCAAACCGCCCTTATCCGGCGACTGGAGACGGACGTGAAGTTATGTTCGGACCAAACTTCCGCACCCAGTCGAACCACCGATGTGGCCGCGACGGAAACGTATTTTTCCCAAGTGGCGACACCTACTCCCCCGTCTGCTGCTGGAAGTCAAGGGGCCGAAAAGACGACGGCGATGAAGCCACCCATGCCCCAAGTGGAGCCTGCTGCAGTTCCCATGGCCCTAGCAGAGGCAGCGCAAGGAGCTATAAGCACGGTGCAAGAGTCTGAACCGTCGCCTGTGCAACAGACGTCAAATGACATGGAAAATCTTTTTCTGGCTGAGCCTGCTCGTGTCAACGGTGCGGATCCACCGCCAGCCGAGGCGGACGCCCCATTGCCAACAATAATTGTTTCCGAGTGGAAGGAGGCGGTGGCTGTGGTGGAGGAAAAGCAGCGACCCCAGCAGCAAGAGCAGGAGCAGGAAGCAGCAAAAAACCAACCGGGTCAGCATGCGAAGGCTGAAAAAGAGAAGAATAGTCCGCAAAACACTGGCGGCAATGATGACTTTGATGCTTTTTTGGAAGAGCATTTGTCCACATAGCACGGCCGCCATGTTGCTCGGTGGACACCCAAGACTAACGAAAAAAAAAAGTGTCGAAGATGAAAAAGAGAGGGAGGGGGGGGGCGGGGGAAGACGGAAGTGTTGCTGTTTGTTTCTTTCATCCACTCTATTTAAGTGTGTGTGTGTGTGTCTCTATCCCTGTTATTCTTTTTACGTCCTATCTGATCTCGATACTTTTGTTGTTTTCCTCTTTTTAAGGGAGGTGGAGAGGGTCCCACACGTTACCCCTCCATCTTTGAGGCGCTGCTGTTTCCATCCGTCCACAGCGTCACACGCAGGTGGAGCAGATGACCCATGCAAGCAAGAACAAAATGAAGGATAAAAAAAGAGGGGGTTAAGTGGATGTGGCAGAAGCACTTGAACGTGACAGCTGTTAGTTTTATTTCTCCATTAATATTACTGTTGTTCTTTTTTGTGTGTTTCTTTGCTTTGTTTTGCTATTTACAATTCCATCGTGCCAACAGCATTGTTGCTGCTGCAGATATTTTTTTTCTTTGCTGCTCGGGTACACCATGGAAACAAAATAGGAGCACAAAAAAAAAATGTACCATCGAAGAACAGCGGGAGAAGCTCCAATGAGGAGAGAAATTATGGAGGAGCCAATCTTTTGTTGTTCCTCCTACCAGCGTTTCTCAATGCGAGACAAAAGAGATGGGGGCGAGTGCGGCTGAAGTTGAGTTCCCTGGGGAAGGGCAGAGGTGGGGGGGTTGCTATCTTCTGCACAGCAGCGTGAGGCACTTTCTACTGAACAGTTTTTCTTCACTCAATTGACGCTATCACGGCTCTTTTTTTTTGTATCATCTTCGTTGTAGCTTTGTCAAGTCATTACACACCCGTACCATTTGCGTTTTGTTGTGGTTGTGTGTCACCAGCAGTCTGCACAGCGACGAACAAACGAATTGGCCTCTTGCCGTGATATTGAGACAGAGAGAGATGAGACCTGATACATTTGACACGCTGGCGAATACTGTGGAAAGCTACGCCACACAAGGAGCGTGCGAGCGTGGGTATCGTATTGACGCCAAGGAGTTGGATGTTTCGCCCAATAGACTGAGCGGCTTTCCATTTGCCACAAAGGAGGCTGTGGGAGTTCATCTCATGTGTAGTAAAGGGGATTTCACCGTCTCGGCCGATGTAAGTTCAAACCCAAAGGCAACATGGTGGGACCTTGTCCCCAGTGTTTCCTGGACAAAGTCAGTGCGTGGCCAGCAGCATGAATTTCTCCTGCGCCTGGCAACGACGCCGCTAGTTTACTATGCATTGCACCACCCGCAATTTACCTGTTCGTCGGAGATGAAGTTTATGGATGGCTTCAGATCCCACTTCACGGCCTCTACCCGGCTTTCTGAGAAGAGTCAGTTTGGGGCAAGCGTGGAGTATGACCCTAGTCGCAGCGGCCTGATAGATTACACGGTAGCTCTCTCACGCACGGGGTGCTCGGCGGTGTGGAGAGGCGACTTTGTCGTTCAATATAATGCCACCCGTGGGGCGGCTGTCCACACCCGCATTCCAGTCCATCGTATGGTAAGCGCTGTGACGCTGGTGGAACGGCAGCGCGTTATTGTCGGTGCTGAGGCCCGCTCCCCGTGTGGCGCACAGATGCTTATGAACGTCAACCTTGTGGATTCCCGCGTCATGTTGGCCGTCATTCGCAACCTGGACGATATATGGAAGATCACCATGAATTACTCCGCGCCGCTGCCTGGGAGCTCCTCCGGTTCGGCGAGGTTTGGTGTCGTCTTCACCAGCCAGTACGCTTAGTAAGTGTGCCGCATCGGATTGAAACGGGCACACGAATGGGTCCGCCCAAAGCGGAAGAGGAGGGGGTTGGTTTTGGCTCATGTGATGTGGGTAAAATAATGGATGCATGTGCCGAAAAGGCGAGTGAGCATGTAAAATGTCATTTTAAGGAATTATGGAGACAAGAGCTCCAAGCAAGTGTAACTGCTGTGGGAGAGGGGGGGTGCAACAAACAAGAGTTAGCGTTTATTTGTTTGCATATATATATATATATATACATGTCTATCTTTGTCGTTCTATGTTCCTGTATGTGTGTTTTCCTCACGCAGCAGCTGACGAGCATAAGGGGTGAAAGAAGCAAACAGCCATGCGGTAGCCGTAGTCATGGTCGTATAGGTCTCGTTATCCAACAAACGGAAGGGGGAAAAATAAACTGTAGACACGTGAGGGTACATGTTTACGTAACTGCTTACATAACATGCAATGCCTATTGTTACGTTTCTCCTTCTCACGTTGTGTTTCATGCCGTTTTTTTCACTGATGTTATTTGCCTTCCAACTTTTTATTTCTTTTTATTTCATTGACGCATGTGTACGTACGCTCATATGCGCCCATGCTGAAGGTTGATTGGAGGCCAGGAGAGGCTGGGGCCGAAGGGACACAACAACCAGGCGCCACACTCCATGAGGGCGGAGCGCACCGCCTGTCTACCGTGAATGGCAACGGTGAAAGTTGCGTCACGGTGTTTGAGTTGCCACCGTCGCCGGTTCATGAAATGAGCCCCTCTTCAGCCACCACATCGGCCAGAGGGAACATTAAAACAGTGCCAGGGACGTCTGCGGGCACTCGTGTTTTCTCCTCTTTAGTCTCCTTCTCCTCCGCCGTCAACGGGAATGAGGACAACACGGTGGCTACGTTGCGAACGCAGTTACGTTGCGCGGAGCTGAGCAACAGTATTCTGCGTGACAATAACGATACTCTGAAGGCCGTTGCCAACCAGCTGGCTGCGCAACTGGACCTGGCAAATAACGGGTTGGCCCTTTATCAAGAACAGGAACAGGTACAAGCTTTGCGACGCAGTGGACACGAAGGGCAGAACAAAGGGAACGCCTGTCGTGAAGCCTCTGCCACCGAAGCAGAGTACGAGCACTGTATTGCCTCACTCTACCGTGCAGTGCGGGGAAAAAATGCGACGCTCACATATTTCCGAAACGAAATGGAGGTCCGAAAGGTGGATGCGTCAGTTTTGCTTCAAGCGTCGTTGGAGAGGAAAGATAACTATATCCTTCAACTGATGGGTGAATTGGATCAGTTGCGACGTGTACAGGGCATTGGGTGTTATGCACAAATTCGGAGTAAGTAACCGGCACCCACGCAGATATATCCCAACGCATGTAAAGGATACCGAGTTTAGTGCTACTCTACGATTCTGTTGCATCTGTTGATGCCACAAGCTCTCCAAATCAAGGACACAGTACACACCACACTCTCCCCTCTTCCTCCTCCTCCTCCACGCCGCACACACTCCGAGGGAGAGAGCCGCTGCGTGGCGGGCATTTATTTGTACGTGCCCGTTCACCTCATTTTTCATTTTGTTTTGCTCTTTTTTTTAAAAAAAAAATAATAATAATAATCATTTGATCTTGCACTGCTTTTTTTTTGCCCTGTAGTTCTGCTCACTCAAACCGCACTCCAGACCAAACCAAGCGACTCACAATGACCTCCGTGGAATCCGGCGCCAAGGTTCTCCGAATGAAGGAGAGCGACGTGCAGAAGCTTGTCGCCATGCACTGCCACCTCGGCACCAAGAACCGCAGCAGCGCCATGAAGAAGTACATCC